CTCTGGTCTGTCATGCATAGATCACATAAACACTATAAGAATACTTATTGAGCAGTCGGCAGAACTCAACAACAATCTATATCTCACCTTCATAGATTTTGAAAAAGCATTCAATGCGTTAAAATGTGAGTACGTATGGAAGTGCTTGAAGCTAGAGGTATCCCACTTAAAGTCGTCAATATTATTAAAAGCAGCTATGAAAGAGTTATATGCTGAGTAATACCTTCTGCTCAAAAAGTACTCGGATTTTGTAAATAAAACACACAAATTTAAATTTTATTCCAAATTTATTATATTTTATGTCTTACAAAATATGCTCCTTCTGAAGCGATACACATACGCCAACGCTTAACCCAATCTTCCATACACTTTTCGTAGGCCTGTGTAGGTATGGCTTTTAGTTCCTTCAGCGATTTCTCTTTTACCGATTCAATCGACTTAAAACGCTTACCACGAATGGGCAATTTAAATTTGGGGAACAGGAAAAAGTCGCACGGATCCAGATCTGCCGAAAATGATGCCTGAGCGAAGACAGTGGTGCCGTATTTGGTCAAAAAATCGCGTACAACAAGAATTTTCCATAGTAAAAATCGCTAAATGCACTTGAGGTAGTTTCACATTAACAGCTGTTGTAAACAAACTAATTTGTACTATATGTCAAGAAAGAGTGTACCAAATTTTTGAAAAAGGTCTATTACTTAAGGAGTAGTAAACAAACAACAAAATTCGGATACTGAGCAGAAGGTACACAACAGTGTACTGAGCGATGCAATTCCATCATCCAGTGATGTAAGGCAGAATTTTGCTAAGACAAAATTCATGCGCATCAATACGCCTAACACACCCCAGCTCACAATAAGTAATACAATCGTGAAAACATAGAAAAGTTTGAATACCTCGGCAGCATTATAACAACAGAAGGTGATACTTCAGAAGACGTAACCAATACACTTCGGACGGCCAGATATGCATTCGCTAATCTGAAATACATTATAAAATTATAATTTTCGATGCTTGCGTTAAATGTGTGTTGTTATATGGATATGAATCGTGGTTTGTTATGGCCGCGATCTCACAAAAACTGCAGTTATACGTTAATAGACACCTTCACGGAATCCTAGACATTTGGTGGCCGAGAACAATATGTAATGAGCGGTTATGAAAAATAACAAATCAGCAGCCGATTGAAAGCAAATAATGAATAATGAATCATGGTTGGCTAGGACATACCCTGTGTTGACCGGTTAGTAAAATTGCATTAAAATGAAACCCACAAGGTAGAAGGAATTGTGGACCGCCGAAATCTTCATGAAGAAGATCGATAAACAGGAAAACTAACAAATCATTCAGAAAGGTTAAAGCATTAGCGCGTAATAGGGGTGTCTGGAAAGCATATGTGAATAGACTAAGCTCTTGAATTGTGATTATAATTAATAGAACATGTCATAATAATAATAAGCAATTTACTGAAACGCTTATTCTGAACTAGTGAACGAAAACAAGCAGTATAGTATCGTAGTGTACTGATCATGTTCGAAATACATACAAAAATTTTTAAAGAAAAAAAAAAAATTTTAATGTATTTTTAATTTTAATGAAGCTGGCTGTATCTTCTCCGAGTTTCGGAGAAAGTACGTTGAGAAGTTGCTTGTTAATGATCTTTGGGATAACCTTGTTTACACTACTCATGTGTTATTTCCCTCCAATTGTTGCAGCACGCGAGGTCGACTTTCTTAGGTAACTTCACGATAACACCTTCTTTAATTTCACAGGAAAGTGTGTCATCCTACCAGAAAGATGGTAGAATAGGATGAATTTCGAGTTGCGCTTGGGTTTGCTTTAAGTAGCTCAGCTGAGATGTTGTCGATGACAGATGCTTTGTGGTATTTGAGTGCTCCAATATTTTCAGCGATTTCAATTACAGTTAAACATTCGTTTGATATATTGTCCCAGACAGTATGATTTTTGCAACTATAGGTAGATTGTTGTTGCAGCGCTGCAGAATAGATTGACATAGAATTTCTCCCAAGTTCTAAGTTGCATACCAGCTGATGCGACAAGTTCTCCATTTTTGTTCCTAATGGGTTTACTGGATGTTTTAGTGCGGTTAGTAAGTATTTTGACCCCCTTATACAAATTTCTGCCTTCGTGGGTATGCGCCGGTATAGAATTTCTCTTAAATTCTAAATTTAATACCAGCTGATGCGACATGTTCTCCACTGTTGTTCCTAATGGGTTTACTAGATGCTTTGGTGCGGTTAGACCGCCTTATACAAATTTCCGTTTGTCACTTTGGGCGCTTCGTTTATCAAGGTGATTTAGGCGATAGTGTTATTTTTGCCAATTCGATTTAGCGCTTAGAGTTTTAGCCGCGTCATTTCAGCTATGGCGTTTTTCCTTTTCGAAATTAAACTCCATGTTCTATCAGAGATCCATTTCTTCCGCTGGTAGTTTACAGTTCCGATATTATAGGTCGCAAGTTGCAAGAATACTTTCTTGTCATTTAACCATGTTGCTCGAGCACTAGCGGAGACATCGCTAATAGCTGCATTCAAGGCGCCTACATAATCTGCAGCAACATTGAAAGATTGGAGATGGTTGATATTAAGTTTTCTAGCATTCCTGTTTTCTAGTTTTATGGCATCAATTTTCAGTTTAAACGTTTCAATTAGCAGATGGTGATTGTTGGCAACACCCGCATCAAGCATGCTTTCAGATGATTCCAGTAGCGTTCTAATATTCCATGCTCCTTTTCGTGTCCGTGAGTTCATGCCAAAAGTCATCATCAGATTTTCCGGCCGATTTCTTTTTTTTGTAGTGGTTTCGTTAATTGTAGAACTTGAAGTGAGTTGCTGATCGAGCTTCCACACTCGAGTCTGGTATTGGGGATGCCAATTAAAGTCTCCAGACAGGCATAAGTGTCACAGTGACTCTTTGGAAAAGTCTGAGCGCCACCTTTAACATGTATTGAAGTTCCTCCGCCGACATCTCTATTATGTACTACTGTCCAAATGCACAACTCTGCTCACAACCTTGTTCCATCCATGTCCAGTGGTCAGCTCACGAACTGTTTTTTAGCAGTTCATACCACCGTACAATTCCTCCACGATAAATCCACACCTACCGCAATGTGGGCCCTTCAGCTGATATCTCTAGCGAAGAGCTTCAAACTACAACTCTACCATTATTAATTTACCCATATGTTGTCATGCCCCATATGTCATGTCATGCCCCAATACACACATCAATTTAAGCACAATTGATTTTTGGCTCCGTCTCAAAAAAGTGGTCAGGTTTTCTCATCTGAACCCAGACTAGTCCTAACTAAAATCCTTCTTTAATCCTGTCTTGATTTTAAACAATCCCTTCCTCTTTCACAGTTCCTTTATCTAACCACACCCTAATTTATATTTGTTTTTGTAATTTCTTTCATGCTATATACTGTATACATCTCCATCTTTTTGTAAATTTCACAGTATATGAGAACATGTTTATTAAAACACATCACCAAATAATCGCAATTCATTACACATCATTCACTACATTTACGCGAGTCTTGAAATCACTTTTAAAACTGATTTTAAAATGATTTCTAGAGCGTTTACGCACTTTTAAGATAGCTGCCAATCAGTCAGCTGTTAAGCGGTAAAACTATAAATTGTTTTACTTTTATAGCAAAAGAAAGATATGTTATTGTAATCAAAATAACACTCTCACAAAATTAAATATTTGCTAAAGTTTGAAATTAAATCGATTAATTTTTTTTTTGATAGTAGAAAAGAATGGAGAAAATTTCCACAGCATTAATAAATTAATTTATTTTGAATTATATTAAATACATTCTACGGAAAATTACGATCAAAATCTTGTTTTTACAATTGAATCTAAAATTTTATAGAAAAAATATGTACAAATATTGAAATATTAATTAACGCAGAGCGTATTTAAAATTTAATTTACTTATATTATATATTTACACAATTTATATTTATTTATAAATAATTTACTCAATGTCGGTTTTTGGAATGAATATCGATGAATGGAATTGATGGTGTTGCCTGAAAGGTCTAAAAGGGCATATTAACATAATCTCGTTAGCCATCTTTTCAATACGAAATATTACTTTATGGGAGATTAGCGTCTTGTATCATCCCATATGTCTATATTTCAGTTTATATATGTAAATTAAAAACAGTTTATTATTTATTTTAATTATGAGTTCATTTAATATTAACTAAAGAAACATGACATATTCAAAATAAAAAGTTATAAACATACATAAAAGTGTCCTTTGGAAATATTTCTAATAATAATAGTGTTTAATAATACTGAAAGAAATTATTTTTATTTGAAATTGTATTGAAATCATTTAGCATCAATTTCATTAAAACGGTATTTTAGTACGATTTCACTAAAATGTAAATTTATTTCTATCATAAATATATATATGTATATAAAATATTTCGCCATGTTTTGCAAAACATTTTTTTTGTTTTTAAGAATTATTCACAATATCTTTACACAATTATGCTATTGTGAATTATAAACTTTATTTCAACTAGATTTTGTATAAATTTTATCTCAATTCTAGTTTTGGTTGCTGTATAAATAGGGCATTAACATCGTAATATAAAATTATGATTATAAAAAAATATTAAAAGCTGACAATTGCAAGTGAATATAGCCACTGGAGAAGAAACTATGTATACACATTGATTAAAGAGAAAATATCATTGTTTGATCTGCAAACGTTGGTACGTAATTTACTCTTCCGTTGTGTTTCGTCTGCTACTTGTTTAGCTGTTACCGTTTACCTGTTAAAAGTGCTTCGTTCATCATTGTAAGTAAATGTTAAGGGTATGTTCTTGCGCACATGTTATGTGTTGTATATTTGTTATATTGTACCACTATTGACTTGTAGCAATACGTTCTTCTGCATGAAAAATATCTATATGGTGGCAACGCTAATGTGAAAGAGCTAACAAGAGCAAAAAACTTATATTTCGTATTTAGTTGTGCTAAAACGTTTGATCGTTGAAGATGGCGGTAGTACTATTCTGTCGAATTGTTTGGTCATTACGGCGGGAATAGTGGATCGTATTCTTATATATAGCAAAAATGGATAAATAATTTTATATATTTTTACATATGTAAAATGAATCCGTTAACAAAAATGATAATACACAATAAAATAACAAACAATAAAAAATAAAGATAAAAATATTTTTTTAAAGCAAAGAAACAAGTGCCAAAGTGTGGGTAGTTACAGTGGTATGCGTAATATAAAAGTGTATTATTTCTGATATATACATATATTTAAATATTTCTAACCAAATGTGAATAGAAAACCATACTAGCATAAAGAACAATGAATGAGGCTATTAATTTATTTTATTTTAAGTTCGGAAAGTGTTGGTAAAATCAAAAAGTTACGCATCAACTGCATAACTACCGCCGGCAAAACGATTTTATTTGAAAATCTTTTCGCGCTATATCACTTTCTATAACATAACCTATTTATTTATAATTTAGTATTAGTTCGTATCTTAATATTAAAGATTTTACTTGTATTTTAATATGTGTAAAATATTCTATTTTAAAAATAGAAATTCAGAATAAATTCCAATGCTTATGTTATTATTGTGGGTTTCTGATTTCTGGAATGCATTCGTAGTATTAATAATAATATAAACAAAATATTCTATGCTAATTTTGACAATGACAACAGAAACTATTCGGGGTTCTTTTCTTATACATTTCTTAATTAAATAATATAAGAAATAATTTTACTTATTTAATCTAAGGGCAAAATTTGAGATACTATATTTTGCGCATAGCAACATCTTAGTTTCTTGTTGGAACTACTATTTGGAAATCAAAATTTCTAATAATTTCTCCAACAAAACCTGACAATATCTTTGTATATCAAGTAGATTCTATTCATTTTCAATTTTTCATACAAACAAATTTTCTAATGATTAATTATAGTTCAATAACCTCCATTGCAGTAAAACAGAGATAATTTTTTTTTGAAATATAGGCGAAACATTAAATGTTTAAAACGTATTTACCTGTAGTTGCATTTGAAGCTATGTTACGTTAAATAAGCAACCAATAACGCAAATATTCGTTTTAAAAATGTTGACATCATATATCTCAGTTGCAGTAAATTCCATGAAACAAAATATGTATACATAAATTTGAAATCTTCCTCATTTTATTTATGTAAACCTTCATAACATCACTAACCCAACTATAAAACTTGGTGATATATACATCATAAATTGCAACATTCATAATGTTTTGTAAATACATTTATTTTGATGTGTTATTTATAAAATTGAAATAATTTTAGTACTCAAAATATTAAATTCGAAATGAGAATAAAACATAAATACACAGTGTGTACCCTAATATATAAAACACCTTATTGACTCATATCTCTGTTATTTAAACCACATTTTTAAAATATTCCGATTACATGTTATAAGTATTCTGAGATAAGATATAATAAGATAAGATAAGAATTGGTATAATAGAACTAGATCTATATGTGCACATTCTTGTACGCGGAAAAGTTGAACTAAAGTACTTTCCCTTTTTGGCAGTGCACATCACTCTTACATTAAAAAATAGATGTATCAGATTAAATATTTGCTAAATTGAATTTAAAACGAGTTTTGTTCGAAAAGTATATTTTAAAGAAGTTTAAGCTTAAATTCTTTCAAAAACATTGAACTTATAAATATTTTATGCACATAATTTTGATTAGATTTACAGTTTTTAGTCTCGAAAATTAAATCTGTTAGGTATGCTAAGAAGTTTTTAGTCTGGCATATAGATAACGCCTATTAGAAAAAACCAGCTCATAAGATATGTATTTGAATTTTTGACCATATGTAGTAGTTATTGTGAAACAATTTTTAATTTTTAAACAATGGATATAAAAAAAGACTATAGATATATCAAAATAAGAAGAACTTCTTTTGCAAGTGGCTATTACTTTGAGCCGCAAACCATTGATGAATCTGAACACCGTGTATATATGCATGAAGCTGCGATAATAACAAATTTTTTATACAATATATAACTATGGCTGAAATATGGTTCTATTATTGTAGACAGCAACTGGCGAAAGCTAAAAGCGCAACAGCTGACACTAAATGCTATAACATTGGTATTTTGACATGAGTTTAGTATGAAGAAAAATTCTAGCAAAATGTTTGAATCACAGATTAAAGATGTTCTCTTTTATCAAGATTAATGTACATATGTATATTGTAATAAGTCAGTGTTTACAATGGCCAAATAATATGAAATAACGTGGACTGCTCCGCAAAGCGGCGTATTCTCAAGTTGTGGTATATTGGGCGATGTTTGGTACTTGAACGAACTTGACATATGTTAAGGATCTCTAGAAATTATTGCATAACAAACTTGTAGATATGTTAGTAAAGTGTTAGAATATTTATATTAGAGTTATAAAAAAATATAAATATAACGAAAGTTTGGCAGTGTTTTTGGAAGGTATGCCCAAAACTAGCCTATTTATTATATTTCATTCAATTCCGCTACATTTAGAATGTTTTTGAAATATGCAGTTGAAAAGTGGACAAAGGTTATTTATCATATAATTTGTGTCGTGTGATATATATCAGTTTTATTTTATTAATGCTATATTTTTGTTGTTGAATAAAAATGATTTAGAGTTCTAAAGACTTATTTACTTTTTAATAAATACAAACAGTAGTAAAGCCTGTTTACACCAAAAAAAAAAAAAAACGTGAAAAGATATAAACGACATTAAAAGCCATAGTTTTTCCTAAATTTTCCCCGTTATTAGTGCAGAGCACAGAGTTTAGATAAAAATTATATGCGCTTAAACAGATCGATATAGTATTTATATTTTTAACTCAAAAGTTGAATGTAACTATAAAAGTGAAGTATAAAAATTAGTAAAATGTTTTGTTTTTTTTTTGTAAAATATATTTATATAAAGTGTATTCAAGTCTCCTGTTCTTGTCAAAATTGTTAAAAAAACACATAGAAATTAATAAAAATTCCATAAAGGTAAAATGTAAATATAATAATAATTACGATAACTAAATGTAACTGAATTTTTGTTAACAATTAGATTACGTTTAAAATTCATAAATCAATAATAAGAAGTGCAGTATTAAATCGATCGCAGAGGTGCAATAAAATTAAATTGAATACATTAAAAAATGTGTAATTCAAATGACCACCAATTTGGTAACTTCATAAAAAAAAAGAAAATAACAATAATATAAATACAAAAAACGTGTACAAAATACAATTTACACACAATGCCTCACAATAGTCATAGTTCACATTCTCGTCATGGTGGCTCATCCAGTGACGACTTAGGTAGTACAGATGAAGTTAAAGTCTTTAAAGATGAAGGAGATCGTGAAGATGAGAAAATTTCATCGGAAAATCTTTTAGTAGAGGAAAAATCTAGCTTGATTGATTTAACAGAAAGTGAGGTAAGTTAAAAACTTATTAATATCAATTTGTTCTAAATTTTCTATATCAAAAATAATTATCCAGTCAATGAGAATGGTTAAATATTATCAGTCCTGTTTAACGAAAGGAGGGTACTTTTTTCCGATTATATTGTAAACAGTAAGAAATGCTTTAATAAAAATAACTTAATTTGAATATACAGTCAAACTTTCATAACTTGAACTAAATAGAGTGCAACAGAATTTAGGGAGCGTTTATGGAGTTATATACAATTACAAGAAAATCTTCAACTCGAAGTCTTCATGAGTTGAACCTTTTTTTTCAAAATGGTACTTCAATTACTATGCAATTACTATCGTATTGTTTTTAATATCTAAGCATTTTCATAATCTACACACTCTAGTGTGAAAAAGCTATATTAAAACCTTCGCGAATAATTTGCATGAATTCAAACAATTTTCTTAACGTTTATACAATATCAATCAATTAAATTTTGTATTAAAAAAAAACAAATTTTAAAACAAAATACATTTTTGTGAAGTATAGTAAGAGCATATCAAAGTAAACAATACTTTTTAAAAGTAGATGCTTAAAATGACGCCATCTATTGCCAAATACGCAGCCGGTTGAGATAATTCTTAAATGAACTCTTTGAATGAACAGAACTAATTATACCTTGTGACCAAAAAAGAACTTATTCGTTCGTTTTTTGAATTCCCGCGCTTATCTAATCGGTAAATTTTTTTTATTTTCACACTGGCAACACTATTATACACATTCTGTCAAAGTTTAACACATATCGTACGATTAGTTTTTGTTTGGCGATTGTTGTTTTGTTTCTTCTTACAAAGAAGTCGAAAAATTTTCTTGTGGCGATTTTTAGCTGAATTTCATTCAAAAAAAGCGTCGTTGTGATGTGGCCAAAGAGATGATTTCCAATGCAGATAGTGACCCCACATCCATCGAACGCATCATAACTGGTGATGAGACATGGGTCTATGAATTTGACATGCCAATTTGACCACCAAACAACAATCGACCGAATGGTGCTTTGAAGGTGAGTCGAAACCGAAAAGAGAACGCCAAAGTCGGTCCAAAATCAAGGTTATGCTGACTGTTTTCTTCGATATTCGTGGTGAGGTGCACTATGAACTCCTTTCGGACGGTCAAACGGTCAATAAAGAGTATTATTTGGCCATTATGCATCGTTTGCGTGCGGCCATTCGCAAAAAGAGGCCAGATTTATGGAAGGAAAACTCATGGATTTTACACCATAATAACGCACCGACTCACACAGCGTTGGTTGTGTCGCAGTTTTTGGCCAAAAACTCCACCAATATCATCAACCAAGCACCGAACTCTGCAGATATGGCCCCATGCGACTTTTTCCTTTTCCTCCGACTCAAATTGCCATTGCGAGGACCTTAGACGCGTTTTGAGACCATAGAGGTCATAAGGTAAAAATCGCCACACGAAAATTTTTCGACTTCTTTGTATAGACGCCAAACAAAAACTAATCGTACGATATGCGTTAAACTTTGACAGAATGTGTATAATAGTGTTGCCAGCGTGAAAACAAAAAAGATTTATCGATTGGATAAGCGCAGGAATTCAAAAAAAGAACGAATAAATTCGTTTTTGATCACAAGGTATGCCATATGTAAAGTAGAGTATACTCATAAATATTTTAAGCTGATTGGATATGATTATTTCTCATAATTTAGACTGAAAGTTAAAATAATATAGAATTAATTTTGCATTATATTTTAACTGTTGAGACCTTAAAAAATATAATTTTTTTTATTTTCAGGAAAAAAGTAGTAAAATAACGGCTCGGCCAGACCATAGCCCAGTATTTGGTGAGTAGCTTTTGTATTTTGTTTTATTATCACAAACAAATACTATTCAATTGTATGTTGATATTGCTATAGAAAAGATATTATATTTAAACTAACTGGAACTTAAAGTTTATTGAAGTATGATCTCAGTTAAAAAATACTCTTCAAAAACTTCTTAATTAAATGATTTACTTGTTTTAGTGTGTTTTAATTGGCAATGTGAATTATTTTAATTTCTGTATAGAAACTAAAAACAAATTCTACATTGCACTATTCGCATTTTTTGACGAGCACAATTAGAAAGATCATTAAATTGCTTCCTTCCTATATGGATCACGCAGCAATTTAATAAAAGTCATGCTTCTCGTTTTACATACTTGTTTCTTAAATAAAGCTGTGATCATAGATACTAAAAGGTTCTTTAGCTTTAGAAAATTTAGCTTTATCAATTTGAGATTTTTGTTGATAGAGTATCATTAAATATATTAAATTAGTAAAAGTTATTTAAAGATTATAAAAGATAAATAGTGGAAAGTGGGTATTGGGAAATTAAGTCTTCCCATATCAAAGGTCAGGAGCCATACTATCAAGGCAGGCGTTTTTACAATTGATGATATAGGTGAAAATATGAGAACCAAACTGATTTGGGACTAATTTGTCCCAAGGAATTATTTGTTATGTGGCTGTATTCAACCTCAATTGATGCTACAACAATTTTCGCCGCTCGGGGACCTGTTGATAAAGATATTAAACAGAGGCTTGTTGAAAGCCGAACTACAAATACATACGGGTACTAGAAGAATATTTTACATCGATGTGAAAGACTAATAACTCTTAACATTTATGATATGAAGACGTGCTTAAACAAATTAAGAAATTGTTAGATAGAAGCTTGTTGAGAAGTCCAACAAAAATCCATGGAGTCTTATAACATGAGTTTATGAAAGTTTGAATATTAATCTACTACACCTCGCAAAGATGGCGGATTCATATTGGAGCACATTAAGTCTCAAAGGGTTGCCCCATATTTTTATATGTGTTCAGCAGTGTTGTAATCTTTGCTCTAAGAGCAACCCTCGAAAGCATTAAGCATATTGTTCTGTTATTTAAACTGACCACATAAGGCAGTGGCATGCGCGGAGAATGCTGACATGATTTATTCAACGACATCAAGAATTTTGATTTTTCTTAGTTGCAGTGTGAATACAATCTAAAATCAGTAGGCCTTTTATACAATCTAAAATTACTTTTTAATAATATGAATAAAAATCCCATTCTAATTTCTTGTTGTGTCAAATTTGATAATAATATTGTGTATGATGTTCTGAAAAGTACCAATGAGCAATTTTCTTATAATATCACATCTTCAAAAATGAATGCATGTGTATAGGACATATAAACAAATATAGAAGTTTACCAATTTAGAAAAAAATTGTTTTGGGTGTTTACTTTATGTGTAATTTCTATATCTTTTATATTGTATAATATTACAGATGTTTTAAAGATGGAATATAACATTTTTTGGCACATAATTGTTACAAATACAACTACTAAGGTCACTCTTTGAGTAGAATATGTGTTACCTACATTATTTGACTCAAATGTGTATGATAACTTTAGTTAAAATCAACAACAACTGAACAACTGAAACATTTTCAAAACTGTTTTAAATTAAAATAACATGTTTTTGGAGAATTTAGATATTTAGATAAAATTGCATACAGTTGAATTTGATCTTTGGTGTTTAAAATAGCAGTTTAAATATTTTAGTAATACAATCTACTAGTACCCGTTAAGTAGCGTTTGATAATGTTGCGTTGTTACTGTATATATTGTAATAAATTCATTTTTGAAATTTAGAGATACTTTTCTAATGAACATATGAAATGACAAATTAAAATTAAAAAAACAATATGTATACTTATCATTTTCTAGAAATTGCCAAGCTATCGATATTATCGATATTATCAGTTTTTGAGTTAGCTGATGAATTACTTTCAATTACCAAATTACTCCCAACATATATTTGCAAATATTATTATTAAATTATTATGTTTTAATTTACATAAAACATATCTACAGTTTAATTTTTTTTTTATCAATATGATTACTATTATTATTATTATATTTATATGTGTTTAAGATAGGAAATTTATTAACAAGCTGAATAATATGCGTGATGATGTGATAAACGTGTCAAACACGCCAGAATTTTCAGAACTTAACGAAAAATAAAAATTAATAAATAAACAAAAAAATCATTCCTGTTTTTAAGTAGGTAAAAGGGATTGACATGCTTTAAAACTAAATAGCAAAAACAAAAATATTTCGCCTACCTTTACACAAATGCCAAGTTGATTCCTGAAGACACAAAGTATAAACATTATGTATACGAGTCGAGTAACAATATATTCCAAGAGCAAATGTATGTTTGTAGAAGTACTTATGGGCTATACCACACACACATAAGAAACATTACAAAGAGACAAACTACGAACGGATGATGATAATGACGATGCCAAACAACATGTAAAAAGTACTTAAAAAAATAATTCATATGCATGAATGTACACATACACAAATAAAAATCATTTCGAATTACTTGGTAGTTTAACAGGTATGTAGCTGGGAACAAGCGTTAACAAGATGCAAGAAAAACAAAATAAAAATTATAACCAGAAACAGAAAAGAGAAAAAATAAACATGACTAAAATGAGAACTTTGTTTATATGTATGGATTCAAAGAAATAAGAAAACTCCTAAAACACTACCATAACAATCGATTACAGATATATATATTATATATACAAAATATACAGAATGCTTTCAAGAAGAAAAAATGTGAATAAAGAAGAATATAATAAAATCTATATACATATCCATTGGCAATGCATACATATACGTATGTTTAATTAAATAAAATATGTATATTTGAATAGCACATGTGTACCCTTTGTTGATGAGTGTTAAAAGAACCAATGCTAAAAAACTAAATTTTACTTGGAATCATTCCAGCAGGCTTTACTTTAAAAACGTGAACTCATACATATTTATTTTGTCACTGTAAAGCCCTAATTATTCAATGCTATCAACAACGTTTATAATAAATGTTCCCTGTAATAAGTTTTAAAATTTCACCACGGACTAACTGACTATATATTTCAACGATAAATAAATTTTTATAGTAGATAGTTAAAACAGTGCGTTTTAAACAGGTTATTAAGCTGATTATTCCATATTTAAAAAGTAATATATAATATCTTATTAAATTCTTATTAAATATTAGCTGTTAATAGTAACTGCCTACACTGGCAGTTATTATTTTTACAAATCATTATCAATTAAATATTTTTTCGAAATGAGTATTTGTATGTAGATACTTTACTCATCAATGAACTACGAGTGTATTGTTTCTCATTCTTCTTAGAGAATTCGTTATTTTAAATTTCAATGTTTGGCAGCATATTGCGTCAAGTAAACGAAGATAACTGTATATCTTAACTTAAATTGAGATCTAATAATAATAAAATATTTAAACATCCTATATTTATACTGTTTACATCAGTGAAGTATTTCTGTTAAACGGACATCTCTCTTAACTACATATACAGAGTTACTGCTTCCCAGTTTCTTGCAAAGTAAGTTCTTTTACGGACTTCTTATACAATATATGATCAATTAATTGTAGCACTTATATACTTCTTTTGTTTACCAGTGGCTATTTTATTCTTCCTTGGTTCTTACGAATTAAATATGTTATTGATGTTATAATAATTGTCGAAGTATTCTTGATAAGAAGAAAAAATCAACATCGATTTCGATATTTTACAAGAAGCATTTTAGATTATATATGGTGTATGAAACCCGCACAGTTTTTTGTTTTTATTACTCGTATTGACAAGATTACCAATCGCCCAATTGCACTTTAAATTGTAGGACATTTTGATCAGTTGGTAGATTGGCAAATCAAAAGGTGAGATGTGTTTAAATTTTTCAGGCCAGACATAAGTCTCAATCGAGTACTTTGAAGCACTTACTAGGTTGTTTAAACAATTCATAGAATATATTTATTTTGACTTCTCCTATAAGAATCCTATCTCTAAAATTATTTTCTGTAAGTGCTCCAAAATATTTACAATGAACGCATTTTTTGAGGTGCATGAAGAGATGGGTTCATGAAGACGCTAAGCATGGCGAATATGACTAGTATTTGCAATAATGCACTATCTTGACAAATTAAAATTTTATGTTCCTCAAAATACATCTTTTATTTTGTCTTTTGAAAGACCGAAAAGACAGCTCCCAGATTACCAAACATTTTTCGAAAGATTTTTTAATATTGTGATCTTAAATATAGCTGCTAGAGAATTGTCCTGTAAAAGTTATCTGCCAACAAAATTGATACATATATATGTGTCATATCATATCTTAGCTAATACGGTAATCATGATGCAAACAGTTCTTCGGAACCCAAAATTTTAAATAAAATATTTTTTTTGGACGACAATCACAAAGTTCGTATTCAAATCTTTTGCCACCATTTTTAAATTATATAGGATTCTATAAGATTCAGTTTGAATGGTTCACGGATTTTTGTGTTTTTCTTCTAATAACTTATAGAACTCCTTATATATATTGTTTTTAATACATTTAAAAGATTTCAAATAATCTTTTTTAACTTAGTCTGCATTAATACGGTTATATATAAATATTTTTTTGAACTTTACAAAAACTTGCAATGAGAATTTGGTTTGCAACATCTTCTCAAGAAGTTTGGCGTTGCAATTTTCATATTACTAGCCTAGGCGCACACATCATAAAAAAATAATTCTCCTTACAAAGTCAAGATTTTCGCAATTTTCTTTTTAAATAATTATAAATACACATACGTTTTTCTGACTTCAGAGTTTCGTGTTGCTTTTTACATAATTTAAACTGCTTTCTTTTCCCTTGTTATAAGTTGATTTATATTTCCATAAGTACATATCATTCCGATTTCAACCATGTTCTGGGCTATTTTA